TCAGATATTGACAAAATGAACTTATAAGTGGTGAACTTAGTCTTCCTGTGTGATCAAATTCTCTGGTGACTAAAAAACTACCCCTTTTCCTTTTTGAAATATTTTCATCCTGTTCCGGGTACCCAAAGAAAACTCTCCTAAACATAATTAAATTTTTGTGGGATAATTAAAATGGTTCTTTAAATTCTAAAACTCAGAATTGCTATTGAGTAGCATTTCAGTTGATTATATGCCAGGTAAACTAGACATTTTTTTGTACATGTCATTCAGTGCATTATCAGTAATTGAGTCCTCGCAAGACTTGAAGTCCTGAAAAATTCCAAAGTTTTCTGGAATGGGTCTTAGAGTGTTGTAAGTTTGAATGTGTGCTTAAATTGTGTGACTTTGTAAAGATACATTGCTAATGTCAAATATGAAATGTATGACATTAATATCAAAGGTTTAGCAGCATTTATTGAGATGATAATATGATTTTTATTTTGTTGATTTGATGTGATATACTTTAGCTATTTTTGCATGCTGCTAATGATTAGTGACATTATCCAGTTTAGATTTCCTTTATTTATTTTTGAGAAGAAGCTAATAGGAAGTGAGATTAATAAAGGTACGGTATTTGATAGTAAAGTGATGGGGAAGTCATGAGCCATAAAGCAAAAATAATGTCTCTTAAATAATTGAGTCCTCTGTACAGCAAACTTATTTTCGGTTTTCTCTGATTTTTAGAGTGTTCTTCTCTTCTGTTTTCTAAGAATTACAGCTTTTCAGAATTCTGGAACAATAACTACTACTCTTCACACTTTTCTACCAGTGCAATGGTTCAAGTTTTTCTTGCTGCACAGTTTGAGCAAGAGATATTGCAGTGTTTATTAGATAAAAGGTTACAGGCAGGTGGTGTTATAGAAAGGCAATAGTTCAAAAAAAAAAAGGAACTCCAGTGAATGGAATAACATGAAGAGGTATAGTTAATGAGATGTGGGATAATTTAATACATCTGGAACTGAGAAGTTAGACTATAAAGTAAAATTATGGACAAGGCTTAAGGTTTCAAATTACTTAGTGTAAAATAACTTCATTATCATTTTCATCTTAGTTTTAGGAAGATTCTTAAAAGACGGGAATCGTTTAATTTCAGGTTTGTGTTCTTAAGATATGTACTTTGAAAATGCCCCACGCCTTATATCTGCCACAGGAAATGAACAAAGACTAACACAAGCTTAAGGGAATTTTTTTTTTAATCTCTTGGAGTCAGTTGAATCTGTAACTTCCTTAGGGAAACCACAGTTCTTGGAATTTTCTAACTTCTCACCAGGCATATAGACATCCTTTAAGATACTTGGAATGAATTATAAGTGTCCAAAGCAACTCTCAGAATTGACCCAACATCTTTTCGTCTGTTAACCAGAACCTGGAAGCATATAATATACCATAAAGGTAGAGGGACAGATTTATATCTCACCCGTTTTCTTTGCCGGGGGTAGGGGGTATCATTGGTTCTATAAAGGATTATAATGTTAAATGTTAAGGGAATTCATTAACAGAGAGTACTAGTCAAGTAATTACATTTCAAATTGCCTTTAAATCAGTGTAGCATGGTGTAACAGTTGAGACCATATAGACTCTGTGGTCACATTGCTTGGTTTCAAATCTCAGTGTGACACTACCTTAGTGGAAAGAACATGGACTGTGTACAGCTCTAAACTTGGACTCTTTTCTCTAACTACTGATCTTTTTCCAGAGTTCAAGTTACTGAAAGGAATTGCTATCCATTTGCATCCTCCACAATACCTAATTTTATTCCAAACTCTGCTGCCCTTTGTCTAAGTGAATATCGCACCTAACTCTTTCCTAAACCTTTCTTGCCCCTCTCCATTATTCAACAAAATATGGTTTTTTTTTTCTGTATATAATTATACTTTCTTTAAAGCCTTAGTAATTTTGCCGTATTGGGTTTTTCTGCCCCATTTAATTTCACATTTACTTTCTCTTCAGCTATGACTGGCATCTCCACTTTTTTCTTGACTTTGTGCATTTCTCATAACTACTGTGGACACAGTTCCCCAAACTGGGAAATGTCTTTTAGATCTCATCCTAAGTCCTGTTTCTTTAAATCTTTGCTTATCTCTAGGATAAATCATTTCTTCTTTTATAAAATTTCATGCCTCTTCTAAATTTTAAATAGCATTTAACTTGTTTACAATTATATATTTGCTTGGTTATTGAATACTGTCGGCTTCCTCAAGTAAAATGTAAGTCCCACGAGGGCTAAGACACTTTTATTGTTTATAAAGCCCTAGAAATCCATGACAACAGATAAGACATATTAAATGAGTGCCTGATGTATATATCTAGACAATAAATATGTAAAGTGATTAATTCTAATGTGAGGTTAAGGACAGGTAAAGTGACAGTGTTGGCATGTAAAGCTTGGGAGTACTTATTGTAGCTTTGTTTGATGTGCCTGTAATTTTACTTTTTCTATTAAAAATAAATATAACTAGTATTTTGAATTTCTCATTACCGATTAAGAGCATCTCAGAAGTTGATTATGCTTGAACGAGTTTTAGAGTAAAACCTTTGCACTTTCCTTAAATCTGCACAACATTTGAAGTTTATAATTCAGAAAAGATATAGTTGATTACATGCTTTTGATGTTTTCTATGTCAGTGTGTTCATTTATATTACCTAAGGCATAAACTTTTTTAAAACTACCAAAACTTATGAAAACAAGAAGTCATATATATTATAATAGTTTTTTCAGCTCTTAGGAAAGTTAAAAGGAAATCAAGAAGATTCAATATAATATTGAAATTAAGCTTTTATGTTGCTTTTTGGTATTTGGACCTTAATTTACTCCATGACTGTTGTTGGCACATTGAAATGTTCTTGTGAAAACTCTTAAGACTTTAGTGTTTTCTTGAAAATTGGCTTAGTGCTGTTATTTACATTTTTTAAAATTAGTGCTTTCAATAAGATTTTGGTTTCCATCTATCCTGAATTCTCCCTAGGACTGCACAACTTCAAAAATAAAGAGACACAGTCAGCAGAAAAAAGAGGTGGTCTGAGCATTTATGTGTTAAATATGCATGTTAATTAGGGAAAAAATTAGAAAAATATGAAAACAGATGTTACATAAATTATTGCAGTCCCAGGGCAGCCGTAACTTATACACTGACAATAATTTTTATATGTGCATGTGTATATCTATTTCTAGATTTCTAATATTTATGCAATTCCTAAGAGAATAACTAGAAAAAGAACTGGTATATCCTTTCAGTGAGATTGTGGTAAACATTCCTTCTGCATGTGATTTGCTGAGGAAGTTTGATTGTTTCACATAGTCTTACTGTACAGATAGTCTCCCATCTTTCTAATTCTGGCCACGGTCTTGGTTTTTACTTTCTTCTTGATTTCACTGATGGTCTGTCAGTGAGCTTTGTTATTAGGCATGTCCTATCTCAACAAGAAAGTGAGTTACCATCCTAGCAGTGTAAGAAGTGTAAAACGGACCTGATGTAAAGTGTGTGTTGAGAAGGAGGACTAATGACAACTATCAGGACACTGCTTGTAGGGTCACTTTTTCCTTTGTTGATAAATCTTCTGAAAAAACAGCCATAATTCTCTGAATAATAGCAACATAGTAGTGTGACAATACATATTGATATTACATAAAAACCTTTCATCAAATTCACTTATGTTGCAATAGTTGGGAATATTTGAATATCTTTCATGGTAAGGGCCATTCATTGTATAAAAATGGTCTGTGTTTTTGCAAGGGAAAGCTGAAAGAGCTATGTGTTATTTTAGTAGTCCAGCAATTTTTGGTTCAGTGATAACAGAAAAGCTGTGTGAATATATAGCTGTTCAGGGGGCTGTTGACAATATTTAGATATTTTCTGTGTATATTATATAATTTAATAATGCGTGTAATTTTTCAGATAAGCTTGAAAGTTAAAATAGGTAAATTCTACATTAAAGCATAATAATTCTTTTTATTAAATAAACAAAACATGAATATTATTACATTGATAACATACAAGAGCACAAAACAGCATCAGGAAATTTGTCTAGAGATCAATGCCACAACTTTTTGCTTTCTGTAGAAATTGTACCTTTTTGTTTAGTTTGGTAGTATGATACTAAAACAGGTTTTTAGTAATTTCTTTGGAGTCTCAGTAGGTTTTAGTTAACATCCATTATCATAATATTTTTTAGATCTATGTTACTGATTTATGTCTTACATTTTATTTCCTACCTACTGCTGTCCCTGTGTTGTTACCAGTAAACTTTTAATTTGTTGTTGTAAGTAAATTAATCAAGATAAAAATCTAGAGAATAGTGATGACATGCTTGGTAATTTATTATTAAGAGATTCTTAAATTGAGTATTATTGAAGAAATTCATTTGTCCTTCTCATAGTTTTGGATAAAGTTATCAATATGGATGATTTGTGGAAGTATATTACTAAAAGTGAAAACATATTTTTCTTTTTCTCTAAGCAAAACTGTCGTGGAAATTAACTTCTAATTCACCAATATTTACTTGCCATACTGATATATCTGTATTACAATATTCTATTTTATTAATTCTTTGACATCTATTTCAATGGAATTGTTTTCACATTTAATTCCAAATGTCAAATTTCCATTTTTTAATTTATGTCATCTTAAATACTTGATATAATTTTGCTATGTGGTAGAATGTGGTGTGTTCACTATTTTAGTACTTTATGTTCAATGAAATGAAGTTATAACAAGTGATTTGTTTTATATTCCAGGGTTCGAGGGGGTTTGCTTAATAATGCCTTTTATTGAGGTAGTATAAAATAACTCCCTTTATTCCAGGAGTTACAGCAGATGACAGGAAGAGTGACTAACGTGTAGGCTAACATTTGTCCCCTGTGTGTCTAAAAAATTTTTTAGCTTGTCTTTTGCACTTGTTTGTTTGGCTTAGCATTCTTTCTGGCATAGGGATATTTGAAACGATTTTATTTATTTTTCTAGGTATTTGCTGTTTTTCTAGAAGTTCAGTTGAAGGAAAACTCAGCTGATATCTGTACCTTGATCCTTCTTTACTTCCTGTTTGCCAGCTATAAGGAGAGCATGCATTTTCACAAGTCAGTCAACTTTGTGGGTCAATAAGGTACTCCTGGAAGGTAAGTATTTTTATTTAAACTGTACATTTAAAAATTGAATATTTTCAATACCTGTCTTAGATCCTCTGGGTTATAACAAAAATATAATATATTAGGTGACTTATAAACAACAGAAATTTATTTCTCAACGATGTAGAGGCTGGTATGTCCACCACCAAGGTGTCAAGCAGATGCCCACCAACAATGTATAAGGGTGTGAATTTGTCCTTATCTTGCCAATGCTTGTTAAGTTTCACGAGACTAAATGGTGAAAGATGAGTTTTCTAAGTTGTGTATATTGGAAAATGTTTTTTCTTTTTCTTTTTTTCTTTTTTTTTTTTGATTGATTGATTTATTTATACAAGCACTGGGTACAGTCAGAAGCGCTGGAGGGTGAGAGAATTCACCAGAGCCAGAGCAGGGAGCAGAAAAGGCAGACTGACGAAGTACACTGCTGAGGGGAGCAGCAGGCAGCAGGAGAGGTCTGCGCGCCATGTGGGACCCTCGCCCGTTGCCCCGGGAGCAGCTGGGGATTGAGCCGGTGCTGCAGAGGCTGCAGGCAGCTTCGCAACCCAGCGCTCAACCACTGCGCCACTGGGGAGGCCCGGAAAATGTTTTTCTTTTATTCTCACAGTTGATTAATAATTTAGCTAAGTAAGTCATTCTTCTAAAAGCTTTCAAGACTTTCCTTAATCTTTTTCTACTATACATATTTCCTTCTGAGAAATTTGAAGTCAGTTTTACTCACTAAAAACTGTTCTAGAAGGGCCTCCCCGGTGGCGCAGTGGGTTGAGTGCCGCGCTGTGAAGCTGTCCACAGCCTCTGCAGCGCAGATTCGATTTCTGGGCGGCTAGGGAGATTCCCACATGTGCAGCAGACCTCTCCTGCCTCACCTGCTGCTCCCCTCAGCAGTGTCTTCAGTGCATCTGCCTGTTCTGCTCCCCACTCTGTCTCTGGTGAATTCTCTCACTCTCCGGTGCCTCTGGCCTGTACCCTAGTGCTTGTATAAATAAATAAATCTTTAAAAAAAAAAAAACAAAACTGTTCTAGATAGGTCACATTGAAAACAAAATAACAGAAAATCCTTAACTTGATTAACTTATATTTTAATGTAAAGAGATCTGCAAGAAGCAAGATAAATATGTATATGTTAGATAGTGCTAGGAAAGTAAAGCAGGAAATGGAGGATCAGAAGTTCAGAGTATATGGAGGGATTGGAAATTTCAAATAGGGTGGTCAGGGAAACCTCATAAAGAAGGTAATGTTCCAATGAAGTCCTGAAAGTGATGAGGAAGTGAACATTCCCAGCAGGGAGAACAAGCAGTACAAAGGCCCTGATGTAGGGATATTATTAACACACTCAAGGAACAGGGGAGTGAGATGGAAAACCTTGGTGAGTATCATTGTTGGGTTTATAGTTTAACAGATACATAGTCTGATGGGTTGAGAATTGATTTTAAAGGAGCAGGAAGTAGAAAAACCTTGTAGAAGGTTAGAAGTGAGAGATAATTATAGTTTGAACAGCAAGATTTGCTGATAGATTGAATTTGAATTATGATGAAAGAGTCAAGACTAATTCTGGTAATATTTTTGATCTTAAAACAAGGAAGATTGCTTCATTTAATGAAAGAGGCTGGGTGTAAAAGAATACATTTGGGGGTGGAGGTCAGAAATACAGTTTCAGACATGTTAAGTTGGAGATATTTATTAGACATGCAAGTGGAGAGGTCAAGGAGATTAACATGATCCAGAGTTCAGGAAGAGGTCTGGAGGAGGGAGGAATTGTAGAAGTTGACAGTTGTCACTGATATTTTTCAAGAGGTGATGGTGATGCAATCCAGTGACTACATAGCTAGGGGAGATTTAACACCCTAGTCTTGGAGTAATTTAACTAATGGGTTTAAGAGAAGAGAAGTTAGTAGAAGAGGTCAGAGAAGGAGAAGACCCTTAAGGTAACATGAAAACTCATTTCAAAATACCTGAAAGCTAGTAAAGCTAAGTGATGGAAATGTTCCAAGGAAGGGGAGTATCATTTGTGACTAATGCCATTGTTAGGTGAAGTTACAGACTGACTGTTGACTCTTGTATTTAGCAATGGAGTTCACTGGTGACTTTGAGAAGAACAATTTCAATAGAGGATCAGCATTACAGTGGCTCAAGGGAAAATGGGAGAACATATGAGACAGCTTTAAGAGGAATTTAGAGTTAAGTGAAAATTTTAAGTAGAAAGAGAAGCAGCATACTGCTGAGAATGTTCCTGGAATTATTATCAGGAATTAAGTGATGATAAAAGAAGGAATAGAATTGTGCAAAGAATGTAAACTAGGAAGAGATTGACCTTGGATAGCAACATGATGGTTTACCTAAATAATAGGAAGGCAAAGTATTGGGGACAACCAATAAGCTAGATTAAAATCAGAAACAGAGCCATCAGTTCCTTTCTTACACTGGCCTTAGGGGGTTTTATGGTTTAAAATCACTTATTAGAAAAATAGTAAATTACTTCACATCCTGGATTGCTGGAGCAAGGATGAAATCTTGACTCTAAAAATCTGAGAATGGGCCTCCCCGGTGGAGCAGCAGTTGAGCGCTAGGCTGCGAAGCTGCCCGCAGCCTCTGCAGCGCTGGTTCAATCCCTGGCCACTGGTGAGGGTCCCACATGGTGCGCAGACCTCTCCTGCTGCTTGCAGCTCCCCTCAGCAGTGTATTTTGTCAGTCTGCCTGTTCTGCTCCCCGCTCTGGCTCTGGTGCATTCTCTCACCCTCCCGCACTTCTGACTGTACCCAGTGCTTGTATAAATAAATAAATAAATCTTAAAAAAAAATCTGTGACTACCAAATGTCTGTTGTGTTCATTATAACTCTTTTTTTTCTCCTCATCACCTTAACAGGAGCATGCCCCATAAATATGGGATGTGATAATGCATCACAATATGATCTGTAGGTTAACCTTCATGTGCTTCTGAGTTATCATAATGTTTTCTACCTGTTCTTGCTCAAGTTCCCAGCTTTCTTTCTCTATAGCCCCCCTTCTTGTTGTAGGTATTATATGATATGATTCAAGCAGATTGTTCTTTTTGCCCCAGTGCTGTAGTACATGAGTTAGGAAGAATAACAGGTGGAATAGGAACAATTAGGAAACCAAAAAACAAAGCAACTTGTGCTTCAATTTCCCAGAGCATCTCCAGCAGTTCATCTCTTGGGTTTAAATAACTAATTTTTATTCTTTACTGATCGTCTCTTTCCCAAAAATCTGGCACAAGTCCCTTGATCACTGAACTGAAAGACATTTCTAGTACCATCTCCTATACAACCATGCATTTTCTTGTCCACTTATGGATACTTACTGAGAGACAGTACATTTGACACACTGTCAATTTGCTTTGGCAAATTAACAGAGTTTGACAAAGCTCCTACTGTGATGGAACTAATAGTTAGAACTCAGATGACTTGTGCTTCTTCTAACTGATTTCCTCTAGATGCAGGTTCTAGTTGTTGCATCCCTCTTTAAACAAGAATAAAAGTTTTCTCTCATTTTCTTTTGGTATGTTCCCATATTGCATCATTCCCCAATATGTGAAATAAATCGGTTATTTATGGAGAGTGGTCAGTATATGATGGGCTAGCCACAAGAAGCGTCTGCATAGTTAGCTGAAAGGGAATTCTTCTTTTCATAGGTGAAATAGCGCACATGTCACAGTCAACAGATGCTCTATCTTCTTGGTTGATTCCCTGTTATATAACTTTATTATTTAACATCATTAATTTTGTCTTCTTGCACTTCACCTATTCTTCCATCAGTTGGTATTGCCACATCTTCATTTGGGTCTTTGTTTCTGTGTTTAGGTTATTGACTTAAGCCACTTGCAGTGATTTTCTCTTTCATAAAACAGACTTGTTTACAAAGGTTCTTAGTGCAAAAATCCCTGCTCACTTGTTCTGACACACTCGTGTTCCTTTGTAAGCTAAAATTGATGTCTATTCTGGAACCTCTAATCCCATTCTAGTAATTTTTCTAAGTTGAACAAGACAAAGTGTTATTTTTATGGGGTTTACACTAGTGGTGTAATTTGAGTAATAGATAAATATTCACATCCTGGATTGCTTGATCAAGGATGAAATCTTGACTTTAAAAATTTTCATTGAATTGAAAATTTTTAAGTGAAGAAGTTGTTTTGGAATGTGAACTAAAATGTCATCTTTAAGAGTAGAATCAATATGAATTTGCCTCTCTATTCATTTGACCAACCAGTTCTTATTTACTGTTTATGGCAGATACTCCATTAATTGGAGAATTTCTTAAATAAATGTCTTATAAAGATGCTTTTCTTTTTTTAGTTGTATGTTATAAAGAAAATCAATTTTCTTTTGGCCAGATTTGTCATTTTTTACATTTGTCATTAGGTTTACACTGTACTTGTACTAGACATCACTCTTTTGATAATGGAGAAACAGTCAGCCCTAGATAAAAGTGAAATCTGGAAACAATCTGTCTTTCTCTTTTTCCTATTCAGTTTCACAAAGACAATGTGCAGTGACGTTAACCCACAGTTTCATCTCTTCTTTGCAGTTCTGCTAGTCTTTTGTGGTACCTCGTAGACCTAAAAGAGGTCTGCTACTACTTTCATTAATTGGAAATTAATTTTAATTAATTGAGAGGTGATTGTCTTTCTGTTTCAAATAGAAATTTGAAGTTTTTAGTGTATATTATTAACTATTAGGAATACTTAATCACTGAACAGCTGACCCATTTAAAATACTTTTTAAATTTGTAATGATGTGACCATTATGATACTGACATTTCATTATTATTTTTAAAAAGATTTTTATTTATTTATTTATACAAGCACTGGGTACAGTCAGAGGTGCGGGAGGGTGAGAGAATTCACCAGAGCCAGAGCGGAGAGCAGAGCAGGCAGAAGGACCGAAGTACACTGCTGAGGGGAGCAGCGGGTGGCAGGAGAGGTCTGCGCACTACGTGAGACCCTCGCCCGATGGCCGGGGAGCAGCCAGGGATCGAAC